ATTGACCTGGTTTTTGTGAACTTGAACATGTGATTAATGTGAACACATTATATATGCTGATACTAAAAAACCAAGAGGGAGGCTAAGAGTAGTAACTATAAACAGTCTCTGTATCATAAACAATCCACTTATAGCAAACAGCAGCTATAATGTGCTTTGTAATTAGAAAAGAAAATAAGAAAGTCATTTTTGGCTTCTTCTACATGTTTGTTTCATCTGCTCTGTACAGATAGACGAAATTAAGGTGAAAGCTCTGTCAAACTATGAAATATGCTTCAGCGATTACACTATGCTTCCATTCATACGTCCACAGCGCACATATGACGAGAAGACTTTTTACGAGATTACGATTTACATCATCAGAAAAATCTCTTTCTCGTACCCACGTAGGCTAGGCTTACTTCTTTCCACTCTGATGGCGCTTGTGACTTGCTCTGTTCCCTCAATGAATTTAGATGACATACTGAAACAGTAAGGGCATACCTTGTGTTGTCGTCTTACTAGATAGCAGTGGCGGACCGAGGGGGGGGGTGTGCAAATGACTTGTTTATTTTTGTAAACAATTAAAATAATTTTTAAAATTTTCTAAAAATTCAAATTAGCCTTACAAAAAAATTTTTCGGGGGCGTGGCTGCAGAGATTATGGACCCGCAAAAATTCCAAGAAGCATAAAAAATTTTTTTGGAGTGCATGGCTGACACCACGCACCTTTATCAGAAAAAAATTTATCTCGTCCCCCCCCCCCCTCCAAGCGGAAATCTTGGGTACCCCACTGGTTCTAGGAGGTGCTGGACAATTTAGGAAAAAAGTGTAAGCTAATTTTCGGCACTATCATTTTGGTGACTGTGACAAACCCCACTTTTATAGCTGGATTTCCAATCTCACCTCATCTTTGTCAACAAAGATGCGCTTCTAGGTGACGAACTAAGAGTCGAAGCAGCTCCAGGTGATGTGAAGAGTTCGATCTTTTCATTTAGAAAAGAAGAGAATTTTCTGGAATTGCTTTTCTGGCGAGTTTTGTATAGCACAAGAATGCGTTCGAATTTATATACTATGTGCACTGCTTAACCCAAATAAGAATGACTTTCAAAAAATAAAAGAGATTTTTCCTCATGGTGGTTTGAGATTTTCACACGCTTGAAATTAACTGGATAGGTACTGTCCAGCTCCATGGAAGATCAATGTTTTTTCGGCTAGCCATGGAAAAGAATAAGCGAATAATACATGAAGGTCTGATATGGAATAACTGGATGAGCAAGTGAGCAAATTTTTTGAACGGAGAAGCGATTTCCTCAGTTTTTTCTTGCATTCATGCTTTGGTTTGGGCCTCTAACTATGTGTAACGAAGTTTTTGCATATATTCGTGTTCCAACTTGTAGAGCTTGCTTTGCAAAAAATATTGAAAGCTTCTCGGAACCTAATCGGGCAAGTACTAGGCTCACTCAAAAGTTTTTTTTTTCAATGTTGACTTTCTCGTGCAATGAGTCAGACACTTCTTGATACTAAAGTCTAAATAGGATGCAGAACACCATGGTAGGGCAAAGCAAGCTCTATAAAATGACATGTTACAATTTGCACCAGCTTTAGTGTACCTCGATTAGAGGTCGAAATCTAGAGTCTTGGACGACCCGAAAAATTGAAAAAAAATTTCTAATTTCGTCTCAACGCAGAAACCATGTTAGATAATAAAGATTTCATGATGAAGGTAATTGTTCTCTGGCGCGTTGACCACGGATTTGTAGCTTTTGATTCGCTCAAAAACTATTTTTCTCAGAAGCAGCAGTCAGAGGGATCATGAGAATTATTTCATGCAAGACAAGACTACACACTAGAATGACATTAGACTTCATCGTCTTTGTGCGTGTTAAGCTGACTGCTCATGGTCGCCTCAACTTTGTTGAGTATAGCCTGCGATGTAAGCAGTCGCATGAAAAGCCATGCGTCATACTTCTTGAATTTCCTTCATTGCCACGTCACAAGACTGAAAGGAAGGTCAGAAGTGCAGTGGCCTTTTGCCATGAGATAGGTGTTATCTGAAGCAGCTTGAAACGCTGAATCTAAAGCAGTCTGTCTTAGCTGCGGAACGAATTTAGAACGCGAGTCATTGAATCTGGTTTGCAGGAAATTTACAACGCAGAGTGCAGCAAAATTGCCAAGCCTACGTAATTTGGGATTAAAGGGCTCAAACCTAGATGAAATAGTTTGTAAGTGCTTGATGTTATTCTACTCCTTCGTTATACTGTAGCGTTTAGCAAGCATTCGAACGATTTCCATGATCACAGAGTACCTCTAGAGAATGTAAAATCTGGTAATCAAATTGTCCTTAATTCCCGATCCAGACTTGTTCTGCAGCTCGGGAAGATTGTTTTGGAATCACCGTTTTATGCTGCTTTAGATGATCAGATAGCCAATCATTCAAAAGGCCACGACGACTTCTGAATGATTGGCACTTACACTTCTCTTCTAATTCAGAAGTTAAAGAAAACGAGTCATAGATGCGTCTTACTTCAGTGCTTCACACCCCCCTCTTGTCTCTTTCCATGCAAATCATTGATTCTGGTTTGACGAAATGTTAGAGCATTGAATCATATTATCATAGGGTTATCCTATGCAATAAATGAAATGAAAAATGAAATGAAATGAATATGGAATATCCTTTCTGTGAGATCCGTCCGTTACGCTGTCTCCAACAAAGGCAAATGATATTGCGTCTATGAATATTATAGGGTTCTACTATCATTTCACTTTCTTAAGTATTACCCTAAAATCTCACAGATATGTCCTCTCATCAGATAAGTTCGTCTACAGGTAAGTATAGTAGGGTAATAGGGTAGTATTTTGGGGTATAAGCTCCTGCAAGACGAAGGCGGTTGGTTCGAGGCGCGACGTGGCTGTGACGCGGCTGTGACGCTGCTGTGACGCAGCCATGTCGCAGCCGCGTTGCACATCGAACCGACCGCCTTCGTCTTGCAGGAGCTTATAATCATGATTCTTTGTGCAGATAATGAGTAAGATACGCCTCTTCTAATGCGTCTTTTGAAACAAACCTATTGAATAGTAAGTATTGAAAGTATTGAATCCCAGAAAAAAGGAAACTCCAAACTCAAAAACTCTGTAAAAGAGCTCATTCAAGAGATGTACATTCGGAGGGAATGTGAGTGGTGATTTGACTAGGAATCAAAGGAGGTAATACATACTTTTTTATGAAAAATGGAAGAAAGCAAACAACTCTGAAAGAACCTAGATTTGTACAATGTTTAGTCGTTAACATTCTGTATTTGTTATGATAGACGCGCATAAGAAGGTAATGGTGGATGAAAATGGTTCCCAAAATTTTATCTATCATTTTCAACTCAAGCAACGTAGTCGACAGTTCTAAGAATTCATGTTTGGATCTATGAGCGTTTTCGAGAACAAAGAACTACTTTTTTTAGAACAGCAAACGTAAAACTGCCTAATTTTCTTTTGCTTCTATTCGACGACAAAGGTGTTTTTGCTGAAACACTTGCGCTAAACATAGGTCTTACAGTAAGACGATACCAGGACACATGATTAATGAGAAATGCAAGTTATTTTAAGTGTGAGCTTTGCTTCGTTTCCTCTCGAAAAAGAAGTTGTGTAAAAAACTTACTTTTCCGAGCAACACTGTGTTTAATTGACTCTATGCAGTTTGTTATAACATTTCTGCGCACCTTCTTCGAGATCTTCAATATGCTGCAAGAGTGCTGTAATTCCTTTCAATTCAAGGAAGGGATATGAGGAAAAAAGATAGTTCAACAAAATCCTTACACCTTCCAAAAGAGGAATGGACTGGTATGAGCTAGTCGCTTTTTGTCCGACTGCGCTGCTCATCGCGGCTGCGAACGTATTCAGAAAGATGGCAAAATTAAAGCAGCATTGAGACGTTTTTGCCAAATGTGGACAGACGTAGAATTCTCAATTGCGGAGAAGTCTTCTAGGGAATTGAGGAATTTCAGTATCACCGTATCGCGATACTATCAACCTTGTTCTAAGCACCTCAATGCTCTGTAAAAGAATGGAATTGTGATGATAAATACAAGTCCAAAGTATCGACCAGCGGCTGAGTTGCTGAATAATTGAGTTGGAAACTATTCCAGTGCGCTTGACTACTAATGTATGGCTCACTCACATGATAGCCGCATGTAATTATGCCATAGTTGATGACATCCGGCCTCCTCTGTCAATTATTTTCAAACTTGGCTCTCCACAAGTCAGTCTATACATCCGCCATTCCGTCCCCTATTCTATAATCTGCTCGGCAGACAACAGAGACGTTGGTTTGCATAACTTTCCGCTTTCTAGCACGGAATGCCGTACGAAACTTGCACTTTTAACAAAGTTGCCGCCCCCTCCCCCTCCCTTCCTCAGGTATGGGAACGTCCACCGAGATAACCATTGTTAATAAATTAGAAACTCCAGATTATTCACTGATTATGGACAATTTGAAGTTGAGCAGGAGTAAGTATTGCCACGTCAATTTTCCATCCATACATCATGAGCTGGTGCCAACAATGAGAAGAAAAGAACAGAAAAAGTACATAGCACAAGTGATTTCACTGAGCATTCTACAGATTATCTATTCAATTTCAGCTCTTTGAGTTAATCACCAACTGTAGCATGGGTTTTCTCCTGACGAGAGTACGACTTTAATGGCATTTTCTGAATAAATGTGGTATCAGCTCCCCCGCAGAAACTGTCTGAGATGTACCGAGAATGTGAAATTTGAAATCCATGGAAAGGGCCAAGCCATCACCCCATCTCCAGGAAAACTTGTTGCAAAGCTTATCTACTAGTTTCGCAATACTATTCAAAAGTTCCCGATGAGCTTATATTTCAAGCAAACCCTTATTCAACGGTCATCTATGTAGATAGCTCGATAAGCTGATTCTCGATACGTTGATTGATTATAGAAGCCCAAGTTTTTTGTTTTAATTTGATCCCGTTGATGCTACTTTGTGACAATCAAATCTAAAAAAAAAGGGGGCACTTTATGTGAAATCCTGAACGAAAACATAAATATGACCACAAAGACAAAACCGTGAATTTGCACAACAAGATCATTCATCGGGGAAAACAACGGATAACGAAACGAGCCACGATGACCATATTAACACGTAGTCGCTTCTTAAAGATCATGCATATCAGCGACTACCACAGTTACTGATAAATCATAATAAGTAACGGAAATATCAATAGGAAATTCGATACTATTTAACCACTACGAAATGGCGCCGTTATACAGAAGTGAATCCAAAACCTTTTGGGCGATTACGCGTCCACTAGCTGTGGCTCGTCACCTTTCTTCTCCTCCTGGAATGGATTCGGCTTTTCGGTCTGCAGAACAAAACAACGCTAAGCCAATATCACACAAAGCTTGCGGTGACATACCTTCGGTTCATCAGAAATTTTAGAGAACAAATTTTTATAACGTTTTTTGTCCCTCTCATTCTGCTCTCGCATCATCTGACGAACTACAAGGATTTGCTGAGCAGCAGCCTGAAGTTTGCTTTTGCAGAAAAAAGCATCGTTTATCGATTTGCACACGAAAATAGCATCATAGTGATTAATTGCACACACCTTGTTCTCTGGGTCAATTTCCAACACCTTCTCGTAGATCTGCTTCGCTTCTTCAAGATCCGACATCGCAAGACGCGCTCCAGCTTTGCGATAAAGCGCCTTTACGTTATTAGGAGACTGCTCAAGCGCCTAAAGAGCTAGTTAAGCAGAATCATGCCAAGAATGATTGGAAAAGTAGCTTGAATTTCCACAAAAAGAAATCTAATAAATGATAGAGCTCTAAATGAAGATAACAATCAATATTACCAACCTTGTCGCAGTATTTAATGCAATCCAGATGTTCACCCATCTTCGATGCCGTCAGCGAGAGATTAAGGTAAGCAGCTAGTATGAGATCATCTCGAGCCTAAATGCACTTCGATGTCGAATACAGACAGTTGCAGTGATATGATGAAAATCAACGGATTTGATACCACATAATGCTTCAATGCACATTAAAAAGTTGAATACATGTTGAAAAAAAAAACAACTTCTGTCTGCTCAAACTAAGTTTGAAAGTAAACGAGAACCAAGACCTAAGACTTACTGCCACACAAAAGCACTGCAGCAAAAAGTGTGCTCATAAAAACATCAATCTGCGAAGAATCCCTATACTAAGCAATTGATAAAAACCTCCATATCAACATCAAAAAAAATGGCATGCAAAGTTCACCTTCTTCTGTGCAGGATCCATGCTTTTCTCATACTCAAGGATGTCCTCAATTCGTTTGTACTTATTGAAAGCCAGCTTTAACTTATTCTGTCTCAAGAAAGCGGTGCCACGGTCTTTTGCAAGCGTGGCCTCTTCGATTTTCTTTTCTGACGTCATTTCCCAAGTTGCAGGAACCTAACAAGAAAAGGATATACGGATCGAAGAAAAAGGGATAGGAATGAGTACCTTCTCGAAGCTTTTTAAAAATATGGTAAATTCGATTGTAGCGTTAGGAGGCAGATTGTATTCAGGAGGAGGATTGGGTCCATAAGTGAACCTAAGATCATTTTTATTACTATGCATATCGCAGTACCGGAACAAGCAAACGAAAAAGTTTACTTAGTGCCACTTAGTTTGATAATAGATTTTTCTCCACGACAGAAGCGTCGGAGAGCACGATCAACTCCTTCAGGCAGACCAACCTAACACGGAATAAATGACAATTCAATAGAAAATTATTGGGGTACAAAAAATACCTCAGATCCTTCTCCAAGCACGAAGTTAACATCTTTGTCAAAGAAAACTTTTCCCTCGTAAGTTCCCACAGCATGAACTGCAAGCAAACTGTTGACAAACGCAACTCTTTTATTTCCATCCTACCTTCGACCGGACTAGTATCATTTGGATTTGCAAGCTTTTCGCCCTCCACGATGACACTGCGCGTAATTGTGCCATCGCGATTTGGAGATATATCTTCAGCTTGCCAATCGATAAGTTCCACCTTCAGCAAAGAGGTTAATATTATGAAATAAAGAAAAATATGGCTAAACCTCAAAATTCAATGTGGCGTTCGGTGGAATTTTCGGCATACTACCGCTTTCACCATAACCATAATCGGATCGGATTTTGAAGTCAGCAATTTCTCCTCTCTTCATCGTAGCAACACCAAGATCCCATCCTTTGATGACCTAAAGTGCGGTTCATAATTATACGAACACTCAAGATTTTGTAAGTTTTCGGACTTTTTGGGAGAAACTCAAAAAGCCGTTGGCACCACGCGATAGAACACAATCGAAAAGGTATATGATCCATAAAAATGGAAATTGATGTCAATCTTAGGAGTGTTTTTGTGCCTAATGCGAATTTCTAGCGGTTCATAATTATACGAACACCTCAAACAAAGGTCCATTTTTCATTCAAAATTGCAATCATTTGAGTCCAAATTTTTTGTAGTGTTACAGTAACAAAGTCTAACATATCTGCTACACACTGAACCCAGTGCAGTTCAGAAAGAGGACCGTTACTTTTTTCAGAAGGCTTTAAATGCTTTTGGAGTGACTGCGCTCCAAAAACATCCGTTCTTCTGTGGTTTACGCGCTCTAATTAGCTTCTACCAAAGCTATGAAATAAAATAAGCTCTTTCGATAGGTATTTCGTTTAACGCTTGGAAAATCTTTGCGTTTTCATGCCGTTTTTCAACCAAGTTCCAACTTTACCACAAAGTTAGCACGATTCCACGCTTCAAAACTCAGCTTCTTTCTTGCGCAAACATTTGATATGAAGCAGCTGCATTGTTTGCATGATGATGTTTCTGTGCCAAAGTTTTTGGGTTTTTTTGTAGAACTGATCTTGAGGCTGTGGAGCTACAAACCAATCAAAGGTGTGATTGCGATAGTAAAAACAGTGTTTTTGGTGAAATGACGTCTGCGTGGCCAAAACAAACGCTCAACGCTGCTGATTTTTTTCTAGCCAGATAAACAATCTTGTGAACTTCTACATACTATATGCTTACTTCATTGGCTTCAGAAGCTGAGTTTTGAGGCTCGAAATCGTGCTAATTCTGTGGTAAGCTCGGAACTTGGCTGAAAAACGGCATGGAAACGCAAAGATTTTCCAAGCGTGAAACAAAATACCTATCGAAAGAGCTTATTTCATCTCACAGTTTTGGTAGAAGCTATTTAGAGCGCGTAAACCACAGAAGAACGGATGTTTCTGGAGCGCATTCACTCCAAAAGCATTTAAAGCCTTCTGAAAAAAGTAACGGCCCTCTTTTTGAACTGCACCGGGTTCAGTGTGTAGCAGATATGTCAGACTTTGTAACTGTAACTGTACAAAAAAATTTGGACTCAAATGATTGCAATCTTGATTGAAAAATGGATCTTTGTTTGAGGTGTTCGTATAATTATGAACCGCTAGAAATTCGCATTAGGCACAAAAACACTCCTAAGATTGACATCAATTTCCATTCTTATGGATCATATACCGTTTTCGGCTGTGCTCTATCGCGTGGTACCAACGGCTTTTTGAGTTTCTCCCAAAAGGTCCGAAAACTTACACAATTTTGGGTGTTCGTATAATTATGAACCGCACTTTATAACTCAACAACTACATCAAAAAATGAAGGATGTATCACCTCACCTGCTCTCGACCCAACAAGAACGAAAATTCGCTGGCGCGGTCGCGACTAGAGTCAAACTTCTCGCCATTTTCAAGTGTACCGACGTAATGTACCTAATGATCATAGTAATACCGACCGTACAAATCAATCCACTCGTAAGTGTTGAATGATTGAATGACATACGCAACATTAGATTTTGGAAATTCTGAATTTAAGACATTTGCGGAATCTAGTGGAGAAATCCACAAAACATTTAAAAAAAACAGTGGGATGTTAACGACAACGAGAATTTCCATGCATCTCAATAAATCTAACTTTTCGAGCTTCTTGTAGAGGAAACGGAAAGCATTAATAGAAGATACTACATAATATCATGGCCGAGAGTTTCCCTGAATCTCGAGAAGCAAGAGAGCTACAAGAAAACTTGAAATTTGCAAATTGCAATAGCGACAATCTTATCGGTTGAAACCGACTTGAATGTTTCACTGTGGCCGTCATCCTTCAAAAACAGAACCGTGTTCTACGAAGAAATGCACAAGGGCCTGAGCGCTGAAGTTTTTTGTTTGAAAAAAAAACTCGCGCACAGATCTCAGTAATGATCAGCATACCGGATAAGCTTCTAGACTAGCTACCCAAAGTGCATGCGCGGCATTAATGTCCTAAATCTGGCTCTGTTTTGATGATGTCACAGGTCCAGCGGCGCGGACCTGGGGGTACAATACATGCGCTGCAGATTCGGAACTGGAAGTCTTTTTCAAGAAGCCCACGTTGTGAATAACGAGTGAAAAATGAGTGAAAGTGACGAAAGTAACAATCGAAACAACTGCAAGTTATGTATGTAGTGGAGAAACAAAAAGAACTTTGTATTATAAAGCGGGAAAAGTGGAACCATAATCGGAAAGGTATCTGCTTTATTTACGGAAGGAAAAAGCATACCTTCACAGTAGTTCCAGCAGTAGGCTTCGCCGTACCCGTTCCTTCCTTCTTGATTGTTTTAAGCACTCCTCCATCCTATAAACATATTCAGCAATGGTAAGAAATAACAAAGCGCGATTGTATCTGCCTACCTTCTTTGGGGTAATGTCAACTGGCTCCGGTGTGGACATGTCTGCTTTCTCAAGGGCGTTCTAAAATAGGATATGACAGATGGTGAAGTTACTGGAGAATGAAAGGAGCAGAAGAGAGATTGTAGCTGTCGCTTCTCCCACAGATTCACTCAGTTGACTTCGTTTGAATCAAAAACCGCGCAGTGAATGGCGCGCGCGTAGACCATAAATGGACAGATCATAATGACTCACATCATGGATGCTTCTTTCGGGCACTTTGATGCAAAAGAACTGAGGAGAAGCGAAAGTTCTAAGGGATTTTGTAACGAGGCAAGCTAAATCTTCAGCGCTCCTCTCACCATTCTCGGGAAAATCACTCTGATTTTGTAACAGTAAAACCCAACATGATTTCGAAAAGAGCATGCTAGGGACGATTATAATTACCGGAATTAGAGAAGCTTTTGAGCATAATCTTACATGCGTTTATGGGCCCAATACGAAATTTCTGGAATTTTTATGCAGCTGCGTCGAATGAGATGTGGGCGGTGTGTTGCACACAAATGGTCATGCGGATTTTTTTGTACGGCGAACCCGAAAACTTTTATTCGCGCTTATGTTTTGAGTCATTCAGTAATTTAAGAGTGCGGATACTTGCAAGTAAATGTAGGAGATTACAGTGAGATGGCGGACGATCAGTACATGGGAGAAAATGGAGTCGTGAACAACGCACAGTACTATCAGCAAGTTCCACAAAGAAATGTGGTGATGAACAGACCGGCATTGCAAACAGAACCCTCGGTCTCCATTGTAAGGTATGTTTGATTCATCTCATCCATTTGCTGGAAAGCTTTTTTTGTAAATGTTGCTTTGTACTGAAGTGAGGTTTTCCGTGTTGTCGTTAATTTTTAACACGAATGAGGTTTTCTGTGTTTCCTCATTTTTGCAAGTTAGTATGTTACCAAGGCAATGGTCGCCAAATTATCTTGAGCCTCAAATGTTTTTAGGGATGATATCCAACGACCTTTGTCAACTCTGCAGCAAAATCTTATCCAGGGCAATTTGCAGGTGAGTATATTTCATATGTTAAAATATCCATGGTTTATGGACTGATTTGTTGCTGTTATCTAAGAGCAAGGGCACCTTCGACTTTTGCATATCACTTTTTTACTTTTTTTTTTAAATTTAATTTACTTTCCTTTCCCTGGACTTCGGCCGTCCTCGCTTTTCAAGTAAACATAGAGTCGTCCAAATCACTCATAGTTGAATTCTTACCCAGCTCATTTGAGCTCACCTGGCATAAGCTGCTTTTGTTACCATAAACCTCAGAAATAAGCGTTGTATTTTCAGTTTCTGTGATTCTTTTTCAACTTTCGACCTTTCACGAGAGATTGAAAACTGGGTTCACTGCCGCAATTTCGTTAAAACTTGATCATCTGTAATATAATTCTTTTTAAGTGTCTTCTCCTTGACCTGTACTTTCCAATAGTGGCCTAGTGGCTTTCAGCTAGGTTCAGATTTTGATGAAAAAATGGAAAAACGAAATCTTCCAAAGTTCGGCGCTTTGAGGCAAGCTCGTCAAAAAATCCAAAAACTGCCCAGTAAAGTCCAAAACAGCCATTATTCTAGGTTTTCTGACCTTCTTTTTCTTACTGAGCAAAGTTTGTGCGGAAAGAGCTTTTCCTGAAAACTTATGATTTTCGAGAAAAAATGCCAAAAAATCACTCTTAACACGGAAATTCAGGTAACTTAGATTCGCGGTTTGAGATGAGACACTTATATTTGGAATCAGCTTTGAACGCTTATTCTAGATATGCTATTTCTAGCTGCGGGACATTACGAAGCGAGTTACTGATTTCTTGATGTGCAAATTTGGCGTACCACTTAACATGGAAAGAATGGCTATAGATGATATCTGCTCAAAAAAGGTGCTGCGGGACCGAAATAGGGACAGAAATCGATTGTCGTTAATAAAGAACTTAGCACAGTGTATTACGCTCAAATATTAGTATTAATGTTAATATTATATTATATTACGGTAAAGCCAGTAGGTCAGATGAGCATGCAATTTCCGCAAATAAAGAACTCAATAACTGGCTTTAGAGTGATGCGCCGCAGCTAGGAATAGCATATTCGAAATCAGCGTTCGAACCTGATTCCAAATATATGTGTTTTATCTCTAAACGCAAATCTAAGTTACCGGACTTTTCCCTCGAATACCCTAAGTTTTGAAGAAGAGCTCGATCAACAAAGCTTTGCTCAGTCAGAAAGAGGAGGTCAGAGATCAAGAATAATGACTGTTTTGGGCTTTACTGCGCAGGGGATTGTCAACAAACTTGCCTCAAATCGCCGAACTTCGGAATATTTCGTTCTTCCATTTTTATCTCTGGACTCTAAACCTAGCTGAAAGCCGTTAGGTCACTATGGAAAGTACATGCTTTACGCTTTTCAATAAAGTTTAATTTGAGCAGAATTGTTGTGATAGAAAGGTCAGGATTTTTGTGTGCGGACCAGCTTTCGGTTCAACCTAATATTTTTGCACTCCTTCTGCGTACGCAAAGTGTGCATTTATGACCATTGTAGAAAGTAGTTCTTGCCGGTTCTTCGCGTCGCCATCGCTTTCTCATCAGTGAAGTATTCAGAAAGCTCTCCATCCAAAGCTATAGTGCACACTTGTTTTCATTTTGAATTTCGTTTTCAATAATCTTTTTTTGTAGCATCTTCACTATCGATTTCTTTATAGTTTGCCTTTCTCTTCGACAGAATTTCAGTCAATACTCTTTTCAAGTGGCCATCTTCGTGTTCTAAGTTTTTTCCTTATTTTGAAATGAAACTTTGCTTGTTCAGTATCACTTGCATCAGGTCTCCTAATTTTTTTTGAATCATTCATTTCTTACCGTGCCTCAACGTTGTGTGTAGGAGCCGTCAACCATCAATATGCGTGACTTCATCAACGAATTGGAGGATTACGTGCCAACGATTCCAGATGCCGTAACTACGCATTTTATGCGTGCATGCGGATGCGACTGCAGTGATCCAAGAATAGTGAGGTAACTTATCATGTTTCATAGTATTTCCTTTTGTATGGGACCGGACGTAGGCTGCCAACAGCTGCTGCCGATATTCGGAGTTGTCGGGATTGCCAGGCTCGCAAATGCTTCGCTAACAACCCAAATTTCATGAAAATCGCATTTTATGTGGTTTTATTGTATGCGCACCATTGTTCTTATGTTCTTTGCCACATTTGCCATTGGCTTCCTAGCAATCCCGGCAACAGATGTCGGCAACCTATGGCCGATTCCTATGGTAAGAGATGTTCGCACTATATGCCACTGCATAATACTTTGTTAACATCAAGTGATTATTTACAGCTGCCTTTTTTTCAGACTAGTTGCCCTCGCAACTCAGAAATATGTGTCTGACATCATCCTTGATGCGATGCAGCAGGTAAGATTTTTGCACCCTTGCACTATAACTTCACCTGGTAATTTCAGGCGAGAATGAAAGGTCTGGGACAAACGAAGAAGGGTACAAAAGAGACGCGCTACTGTCTGACAAATGATATCTTGGAGCCGGTCTTGAAAGAATACGGTATTGATTTTGTGCTACCTCCATATATGCACTAGGATGGGTATACTTTTCCTCTTAGAGTACTGGTGTTTCTATAATCTTATTGTTACCTGTGTCTGCTCTTTCTATAATAACAAGTGTTTATGAATGTTATATCCATTATTGTGTATGTATTTACCTAAATATGTAAAAAAATCACTTTTAGTGAGTGATTTGCCTGGTTTTTTCTTTTTTTGGAGGTCTGTTCTGTTGATTTGTACGCAACGCTTTATTGCATGATAAATTTTGTCTTTCAGTCTTTAAGGCATGGTACAGGTTCATTCTTGCGTTATTTTCTTTTACAAAGCTGAATCATCCACTGCATTCATTTTGGTCAGCAAACACAGCTGCAGTCCTTCGTCGAGTCCCGATGCGGTATTTCTGAGATCAGAAATCCCGAAGTATATGAATGTAAACGGAGTATCGAATAACAAGCATCAAAAATGTTTCCTTTACGGGCATTTGCCCGTCGGATGTCACACCTTGCGGCTAGATACACTGGTCGAGGAGATGTGCATGTAGTTGATCCGAGCGTTGATCTTAGGTGTGCCTACCATTTTATGAGCACTTCTTCCCTCCTTTATTAGCCATAATCTTGTTAAGGTACTTATTTGAGAACGCAGGAAGACTCAAGAGAAGTCTCGAGGAACGTCGTCGTGATATTAATATTGCTGAGTTGAAAGAAAAGTATGAAAAATGGTGGGCACAATATGAGAAGTTCACTGCTGCCACGAAGGGCCAATCAAAAGTACGTTCTTCCTTGTGCATTTTGACTACTATATACCAACAAAGTCTGCTGGGGGCAATCAACATTAATTCCTAAAGTAGAATGTTTCGAATCAAGACTTACGATAATATTTTCTGAATAATCAAACAGGTTTTTCCTTTTGTCATGATATAACTCTACCATGACCTATTCTTACTGAAGGAGGAGTTGTCTGCTGCAAAGAAGGCATTGCGAGAGGAACAGGCTGGGCTTCTTGAAGCATTGGCTCTTCCAAATTTTGTAGATGAAGTTGGGAAGCAAGAGAGACCGATGTTGAAATCATCGAGTAAGTGCAAAGAGCTATTGTCTATAAGGTAATGTGACTTGTACTTCCCAAATGAATGGTATCTGTAGAACATCGCGACTATCTTGTGCAAAAAGGACATATGCGAGTCGACAAAGAAATTGGAGTTGTCCATCTTGTGGGTTACCCAGTATTAATTCGAAATAACCTGAAGTATGTTTGAAAATCACATTTTTTTTTTGCCTTCTCATTGACATTATTATTCAGGACCCAGTTTCTCGAAATGTTCGAAGATGCTATTTTGGTTTCACCATCGTACTTCGCGCGCGCGGCAATTCTGGAAGGTGTCAATGTGCCGGAACAAGACTTTGTAAGATTCACAGACGGGTCTGAAACTTTTCCTCCGACTTATTTAGGTAACTTATAACTGCATTCTTTTGTTCACTCTATTGAAATTTTGTTCAGTTGGGAATTCGCTTTGCTCGCTTGTTTCCTTGTTTATTCGCTCTCAATTTGTCGCGCAGAAGAATACTTGGCCAATTAAGCTCCAGAGCTCAGGTGTATCCTATCATGCAAAGGTATCATAGTTTCAACGAAATTGTTAACGAAACTGTGAAATGCAGAATGACACAATTGATCTCGCATATGGTCGCCAGCGTCTCAAACATTGTATTCTTGCCTTGGCTATCAGTGACGAGCAGATGGATGAATTTGCGAATGACAGTATGACCAGAATTGGTCTGTTTATATTATTTTCTAGATATTTTTCTTCTCAATATCTGTTCTAGGAGCATTGTTGGATGAGGGCCTTAAGCTGGACATAAAAGCTCGGAAGGTGACAGGAAAAGAATTACGAAATTTCGAAACTCAAGCAATCGTGTTTGAGGACAAAGGCTTAGAAGTAGCGAGGGTAAGATCGAGACTTTATCACTACTCACTTATCTGGTTTCCTTCTTGCAATCTCAATTTCAAGTACATTCATAAAAGAGGATTTTTTCAGATTTCGTGGATCGGTGACTACATCTCTCGTCGACTAAACGTCACCGCCGACAACGGCGACTTTCTGAGGATGGTCTACGTAGAAACAAATGTGGATCGAGTTCTTGCAAGGATCTTTGATAACTTAGTAGACGGGAATGATATACCTAAGAGCTTGCGACAAGCCGTGGGAAGCTCGGACGCCGTATAATATATAGCGAGAGTAAATTGACAGGTTTATATGACAGCACCTCTTCTGCCTTTGTTTGTATAAAAGGTGACATTAACTTCACGGCTATCGTCGATGTCAGCTACACAGTTCATAACCTGCGGTCGCGAGTCGTTTGCACCAGCGGTCGCGCGACCGCTGGTGCAAACGACTCTGCAATTTCGGAGCCCTGTAGAACGGGCGCGAACGCGGTGCCCACGTATCTTCACCTTTGCGAACCCTGCGCTCCATGCAGTCTACCTAGTAAAACCGCTTCGCCTCTAGCTTTTACGCCAATTTCCGCCAGCAGCCTATACATCAGACAGCATTTAGGCGCAATGGCCAAGTTTTCGAAAAGCTCACAAGGGAAGCCACCTAACTCAGCTCGGCTTTATGGCAAGAGACTTATCATCCAAATACGCTATTGCTAGCTGCCGCGCTCCATTCCGAAGGAGTAATGGGCTTTTTCCTGCGCAAAATTGGCATACTCATCGACTCACTGGCCTCGCGTCATCACCATCTTTGTGCTAACACTATGCTGACTTCTTTTCAATAAGGAAGGATTGGATATGTCATTTCGATATCTCAGCAACTTTTTCTTGCAAATCTTTATCTACAGTCATCTTCCCTTGTTAGTAGTATGCAAATTTTGCGCAGGAAAAACCCATAAATCGCTTCGGGGTCCGGAGCAGCCAGAAATAGCATAGGAAGTGAAGCTTCTTCGCACTCTCTACGATCAAATTTGTATCGATTTTTTGTCGGCTAACGTGTCGGCGATTTCGCCTTCGTCGGAGTCGGTATACTCGAAGTTTTAATACTTCCACTCAGATGCTAATAAACAAGTCAGCTCAAAGGCAGTGGCTCGGAAAAACCAAACATCTCGAAATTTTGTTATGGAAGGTTGCTTGCATCCCAAACATCAGAATAGAGCAGGTCCCAGCGCACCAGATGCTGCCCCTGCTTAGAAAACTGCCCCTAAACCATGCCCGCAAGCCATTTTTACACGCGCTCGGACGAGCTTGCGGTCCCCTCCCCCATCATCAGAGGCGGTATGCCGCAATGCTAACATGAGGGTCCCATGACTTTACGTAATTATGGAGTGGTCCACTCGTCCAAATTCAAAATGAGAATTTTGGAAAATGCTAATTTTCGACATTTTCGTGCTCTTCAAAGTGTATTTTCGAAATCAGCGGGTCGAATCGCCCCAGGTAAGCGAAAAAAAACTCCAGGTCACGGATATGCCGAGCCACTGCCTTCAAAGGTAGCGTCTCGCTTGCCGCCGAAGTTGAGATGCAGAGTCGTGGTGGGACCTTACGTCTTGACTGCAGTCACATGTGTGCGACATACGGGTTAGGGAATTATATGTCGCCGAAAGTGAAAGCTCCCGCCGAACATCTGCGACAAATACAAATTCCAATACATGCACAGGATGAGTACCTACTGCATTGTCCGCGGGGCCCTCCCACTTTCGGCGACATATAGTCCTCTACCCCGACATAAGCACTCTAGCTATCGATTACAGGGGCGGGCTGGTCGCCGGGACGTTCCGGTCACTACTTCTGAAACGATTTTCTCGCTTCAGAAGCAAAGTGGTCATGCAATATCACTTGGGAAAGAGCTTTATCAGGGTGGGAGCCCCTACGCTACATTTTTATGTCTGTCCGGATGCTGCCTTTGACATTCGACCAAGAAGAGTAACAACGCGGACTACGCTCGTTGATACAAACCTCGGAATACAGCTCGAGAGCCGCAGTGAACACGTTCTAACGAGATCATTCCTCCCCTTTTTGATATTGTTGATTCTTTAACATCCGCGAAAGGATTGTTAGCATAGCTCTTAATAGCAGTGCAGTACTTTCCATAACGTTAGTCTCTGGATTTGCGTATATCCAAAATTCCTCTAAAATCTTGCATGCTAGGATATTGGGCTCAAACGCTAAGATTTTGACTTCAATTTGAAACTCTACTTTATCGTGTCATGTCATGCGGTGCGAGCCGAGAGGCGTATTTGATTCGGATTTATGTAGCCTATCTAGATACTCTTTTACAGAGCAGCAAAGAGTGCGTCCGGTTTCACCAATGGAAATATCACATGTAATGATATAAACTACACCTTGAGATCATACAATCACCCTCTTTGCTGAAGGGCAAGCCACTCAATTGGGAGCATTAGCGATCGTATATGCGATTTCGAATCAAGCGTTTCTGAAAATTGCTAAGCCGTATATCGATAATCCTGACAGTACTTGCTAATTGTCTCCTTTTGAGCAACGACGTACTGCGCTACTGAATTCGTCAGAAACTTACTGCATGAAATGCTGTTTTATCGTCGTTTTTGTGGTCAGGTTTGTGATAGTTAAATCCGCCCACTTTTTCGCCTGTGTAGCCGTTCAACTTCACCATTTCGCAGTAGCGGTAAAATATTGGCGCTTCTTACTTTCAAAATATAATCGAGCACTATTTTACATATTCGCTTACCACTGCTTTATTCATTCTCTTGAGTGAGCGGATTAGTTTTGTATTGATACGTCTCTGCTACTGCGTTTGCTATACCATTTAGACCCTGGGCATACTTCTCTCTCGACTCTCCACTATGGATTGCGTATTAGTTTGTCCAAGAGACTCGGTCATTCCTAAGTTACAACTATCACTATTAGGTTATTTTCCCCGCTCCCACCAGGAAAAAACGATAGCAAAGTCTTTTACAACTTTGACATAAGTAACTTTAGAATTACCCAGGGATAAAAGAACAGCGAAATGGAAGAAACGTGAAGTAAATGATTCTATAACACCAAAGCGGTGAACGGAACAGAGAACTTTTTGTAAAGAAGGAAAGAAAAAAGAAAGCTTGTCGAGCTGGGCCGAGCTCTGGATACGACTTTGATGCAGTGTAGCCCAGGCGATGGAGGAATGGAGGAGACGTAGTGGCGCATTGATGAGGTTGAGCTTGACGAGTTGAGCGTAGGCGAGGACGAAGACTGAAGATGGGGATAGAAGCTTCCATCTACGACTGTGAAATTTGATTACGATTAAGTAACCGTTAATTAGGTCGTACTGAATCATTTCTGCCTGAAATGTTTATTTTGTGCCTTACTGAAGCATGGGAGGACGTTGTGAAGCCTGCAGAGAATGAAGCGCGTTACCCCGCAGTTTTCACGATGCTGAGGCTATAGGAATCTTTCGCAAAGCCCTAGGGCTGCCGTCTCCACCGCGTACGGCGTCGGTCTACAACAACTGTCGGTCCGATGCTAATCTTTCACGGTGCAATTAAGGAGGTCCGTTCCAAAGTTGATTGTAAATTAGTGACCACTTTTGCTGCACGAGTTGCGCAATCCCTTCCATTTTGACTTTGATAGTTAACAATCCATTATTTAATTTTTCCTTGATTTCTTTGACTGCATCGGCCAGCTCAATGTTAGGTCGACGTCGACATCGTCCATGGGCATCGCAGGCTTGGGCTGACGTTAGCTTTTCGAATGAGCTCCTTTCTTACGGTCTTTCGTTACCGTCTCCATATGCATATGTTTGTAAAATAGATTATGCTTATGTTTTACGATGTTCACGATGATATATAATTTGACTAATGTTTAACGGCTTTCAAAATGATTATGCAGACGATTACAGAAAAGGCGAAAAGCTTTGAATACAAACTCAGCAGAATTGTCGAGTTTATGAGTTCCAACGGCCACATACGGCAAGAAATCGATTTGATATGCACCAGCCATAACAGCTATTCCTACGAGTACAAAAGAGAAATTCTGTTCAATGAGTTGGATTTGAAACTCTGCGTTAGCATCATGCTTGCCAATAAATCCGTTGGTCTGATTGAAGTAGAACGATATCCAACGGTAATGAGATGTACGAAACTATCGTTATACTTCACTAGAGATGCAACGACCAGATTGTTTAGCATAGTACGATGTTCGCAGGCAGGGTCATGCGTAAATTCCAAATGCTCGCAGAAACTGTCAATACGACAATCAAAGAGCCTGGCAAAGCATACAGTTTCCAGGTTACTGCGGGTGTCAGCATATATGCGGTGGCCAGCTTGTTCGTTTTATCGGATCGCACAAATCCCAAGAAATGAAGACATTTATGAAGTGGCATCATGTCTGAAGTGGGAACCGTTGGTGAAATCAAAAGTCCGAGTATCACTCTACAACCAGGAAAAAGAAACCTTGATTACAAGCGCGTCTTACATCAAGCACGCATTATAAGGAATGGTAGTCTCAATAATTTCGGTGCAATCGCCGCACTTTTCCATGCTAGACAGAAAAATAGCGATATCAAACAAAGAAACTTTGCTTCGACCAGAAGGATACGAACTAGCAGCTAAATGAGCGACTTACCAATCAACAGCAAAAGATTTCAAAAATTGCGCCAACCAAATGATATGCTCGTGCGAAGACGCGAATGGAGCAATCAAATGTCACTGTCCTCAGATGTCCATCAGAGACGTGAAGAAAGACATTACAAATGTATTTCCAATTCATACTCCTTTCATCTCCTTCCAAAAACGAGATAAGGAACTCTTCGTAAAAACTATGCAAGGAGAAGTAGTCGTATCGCTAGAATCCCGCTCGCTGAAGAACAGCGCAGAATATCTACTTGAATAAGATTGCAAACTAAACGCGAGCAGCGTGAGTGGATGCTACGACTGTCAGGAAGAAGCTCAAGTGGGCATCAGTTGCTCAACCAATGAAAGAGCATGGATTGTAATCCAGTTCGGGGAACACACATTTTCGGTAGAGTGCGATTCGCAAGGAAAAGAAACTGCACTGGCAATAGAATTTCAAAAAGCAATTGTACAAGAAACATGCGTTGCGCAATGTAACAACAAGACCATCAAATTGACTTTACAGGTACACTCAGTTTTGTACCAGACATTGTGGAACACATGTTGTTCGAAAATCCAGCGCAACTAAAAAATTCCCACGAAGATTGGTTTGCAGACTAGAAAGTTCCAAGTATTTTACCAATCTGGAATACTCTCCGCAAACACTGGCAAATCACTACATTTATATTGGGATCAATAACCATCCTCTCGGTCATAACATATTTATTCGGACCAGCA